AAGGGAGGACCACACACTGACCTGTCCTTGTGTCTGTCCTTGAAAGCAACCCTCACGGCCACCGAGTGGGTGCCAACTCATAGTGACCCTACAGGACAGAGGGGAATGGCCCCTGTGGGCTCCGAGACTGGACCCCTTGACGTGAGCAGACAGCCTGGCCTTTCTCGGAGCGCATGGGTGGGGGTTGGCACGGCTCACCTGATGAGCAGCCTGGCATGTCACCGCCAGGCGCCCGGGACCCCTCGGCACCAGCCCAGAGGCCCTCAAAACAGGATGCTGAGGGAACTGAGCAGCAGCCAACGAGCTAACCCTGTAGATGGGTTCGGGGTAGGAGGTGGGTGGATATCACGTGTCCAAGTGGAAACCAGAAATAGAAAAGCCAAAGGACTGCAGAACCGTTGAAGAAATAAATAAAAACACCAGTCTCACCCCGCTCGAGTGGATGCTGCCGCAGCGACCCCCCAGGACAGGGTAGAACTGCCCCCGGTGTTGCTGGGACTTGAACGCTCCCTTAGCAGCTACTGAGTCAGTTCCAACCAGCAGCGGCCGTGCACAGTGGAAGGAGACTGCCGCCTGCACCGCCCTCAGGTCCTGGGCCGCAGCCCGAGCCCGCGACGCCTTCCTCTTGGCCACTGCCCCTCCAGGGCACCAAGCACGATGCCCTCCTGACGCCCACGGTCTCTCCCACCAGCATGTCCAAAGTATGCGAGGTGACGTCTCCCCACCCTTGCCGCTAAGGCAGCGGTTTTCAACCTGTGGGTCGTGAGCCCGATCATAACAGTACCAGAATGACAGTGATGAAGTAGCAACAAGAAGAACTGTCCCCACACATGAGGAGCGTGTGAAAGGGCTGTGACATCGGGAAGGGGGAGGACCACTGCTCTAAGGAGCACTCTGGCCGTACTTCTCCTGAGACCCATCGGCTCGTACGCTGAGCTGTCCACGACACCTTCAGTATTCTGCTCCGGCCCCGCCGCTCCGATGCCTCGCTTCTTCGGTCTTAGATGGTCACCTCTCCCATGCATTTGACGCGGTGGAGGGCACACACCATGGCTCGGGCCAGGCGCACCTGGGTCCTCGAAGCCAGCTCCTTGCTTCCCACACTCTAAAGAGGGCTCCTGCAGATTGGCCTAAAGCAACGTGTCTCTTGCTGTCTTGACTTCTGCGCCCAGGACGATTCATTGTGGACCCAAGCAAGACCGCCTCCTTGACCGTCGATCCTGTCTCACGGACCCTGGTGTGGCCCCTCGGTCCAGAGTGAGGATGCGGTCGTCTTTCCACAGTGTCGGGGCCACGCCGAGGCTGCCGCCCCCGGGTCGGCATCAGCAAGGGCAGGGTTGGGTCGGCTGCAGAGAGACTTCTTCCGATCCACTCTTTAACTCTTTATGGGAGGAGGGGGCCTCCTCTTCCTCCTGAGGAGCAGCTGCTGGCTCCAAAAGGCTGACCCGGAGGTGAGTGCCCCACACTCCGCACCACCAGGGCCGCCGAAGAGAAAGGACAAATTCAAAGCCTGTCTGTAAGGAGGGCGGCTGAGGGAGGCTCCCAGGACGCCAGCAGCGGTGACAACAGAAAGGAACACAGATGGAAAAACGCTCCCCACACCACGTCAGACACACACCCGCCAGATCCCAGCACCCAGCAAGCAGGGTGTGAGAGGTTGGGTGACAGGCCGTCCCCCTGCCAAGCGCAGCTGACAAACACAGCAGTGCTTTGAGAGCGCAGTACAAAAGCTAGCCTTCACCGCGGTGTGACTCGGGGAGCCCGGTGCCGGTGTGGTCACCCACTGGGCTGCTCACTGCGAGGTCAGCAGTTTGAAACCAGCAGCTGCCCCTCGGGAGGAAGACGGCCCGGGACAGGGAGGTTTATTGTGCCAACCTGGCCAATAGGAACCTGTGGGATTCATCAGGTCAAAATCTGGTGGGCGGGCAAAAA